GTTCAAAAGACTTGAAAAGATCGACTTTGACCGGAAGTCCAAGATTCTTGATGCATGTATTGGCCTAACAAACAGAAACTGTAAACAAGTGTGTGTGTTAGTTTCAGAGGAATTTCAGTGTAGTTAGCTCCTCCCTTCAGACAGATATCAGGAAGTGTCCACCAGCGTCTGACCAGAGCTGAAGAAGCAGTTTGGATGAGCTGCGAAACGTCTTCAACCAAACTAACTTTTGTCCAGTCGACAAACAGAATTTTCTTCTCGCCATCAAAAGGTTGAAGTTTTTATCCGTTTTGGCCTTTCGTTTCCTTTTCGCCGGTGTTTTGGGTGTTGGGCGAAAATTGTGTTTTTTGAGAGCAGGTTCCAGAGTGGAGAAATCTGAGAACGTTGGTGTTTTGTTCTCGTGCGGACAAGAAAATCCGCAGCTTTTGGAAAACGATGACGTCGCGCCACCGTCATCGCCACGTGACCAGAAGAGAAACCCGGACTTGACGTGAATATTTATCGATCCGACGTGTGACGTTTTTTTAAACCCCCCAAAAAAAAAAAAAAAAATCCAGGAGTGTTGTCGTGTGGACGTAGCCTCAGTGGAAGGAAACTTGTTTATGACATATTCACCGTTATTGTGATAATATCGTATCGTGTATCGTGTATCGTGTATCGTGTATCGTTCCAGCCCTGATGTACGGAGCTTCAGTTCATTTTGTGATTTCCAGTTCACTTTAGAGCGTTTTCTGTGGTCTGAGCTAAACATGTTGTGACAAATGAGCCTGTGTCGCCCCCCACAGAGAGACCAGAGTGAAGCCGACTGAGCCCCGTGTGAACAGAGACCCCCCAGGACTCCCCCTTCCCCCCTAGACCTGGTTTAGTCCTGGTTTAGTCCTGGTTTAGTCCTGGTTTAGTCCTGGTTAAGACCTGTTTAGACCTGCTTTAGTCCTGCTTTAATACTGGTTTAGTCCCGGTTCTACCCTGGTTAGGCCTGGTTTAGTCTTGGCTTAGTCCCGGTGGTTCGGCCCTAGTTTAGTCCTGGTTTAACCCTGCTTAAGGACTGGTTTAATACTGGTTTGGTCCTGGTTTAGACCGTGTTTAGTGCTGCTTTAGTCCTGTTTTAGTTCTGGTTTAGTCTCGATTCAGTCATGGTTTAGTCCTGGTTTAGTCCTTGTATAGTCCTGATTCAGTCCTGGTTTTGTCCTGGTTTAGACACTGTTTAGTCCTGCTTTAGTTCTGTTTTAGTTCTGGTTTAGTCTCGATTCAGTCATGGTTTAGTCCTGGTTTAGTCCTGGTTAGTCCTGATTCAGTCCTGGTTTCTGTTTAGTTTAGTTCTGTTTAGTTCTGGTTTAGTTTCAGTCCTGTTTTGTCTGTTTAGACACTGTTTAGTCCTGCTTTAGTTCTGTTTTGGTCCTAGTTTAGTCTTGGTTCAGTCCTGCTTTAGTTCTGTTTTAACACTGGTCTAGTCCTGGTCTAGTTCTGGTTTAGTCCTGATTTAGTCCTGCTTTAATCTTGTTTTAGTCCTGGTTCAGTCCTGATTAAACTCTGCTTTAGTCCGGGTTTAATACTGGTTTAGTCCTGGTTCAGACCTTGTTAGTCCTAGTTTAGTCCTGTTTTTGTCCTCGTTTAGACCAAGTTTTGTCCTGTTTAGGTTCTGTTTTGTCATGGCTTAGTCTTGGTTTAGTCCCAGTGGTTCAGCCCTGGTCTTAATATGGTTTAGTCCTGGTTCAGTCCTGCTTTAGTCCTGTTTTAACACTGGTTTAGTTCTGGTTTAACCCTGTTTTTGTCCTAGTTTAGACTCTGTTCAGTCCTGCTTTAGTCCTGTTTTAGTCCTTTTTTAGTCATAGTTTAGTCCTGCTTTAGTCTTAGTTTAATCCCGGTGGTCCAGCCCTGGTCTTGTTCTGCTTTTGTCCTGGTTTAGACCCTGTTTAAGTCTAGTTCTGGTTCAGTTCTGCTTTAGTCCTGGTTTTTAGAGTCTGTTAGTCCTGTTTTAGTCCTAAAACTATCCAAATGATTCTAGTGAAGGTGTGTGGAGTTTAAAAACACAGTGGAGCACTTCCTGTATCACCACATGACATCACAAGGTGGGTGGTGCAGGGTTTGTGTGTTAAATGTGTGAATGAAACAAAACACAACTCCAAGTCTCTTTTAAACTCCGCCCCCCCGATGATGTCGTCCTCTCCTGTTCCCGTGGCGACAGTTTGAGTGACAGGTGATGGGCTCCTCGTTGACCCCGGGGTTAAAGGTCGGGGCAAACTGTGAGAATCTCCACAGGAAACAGTCGAGACGTTTCAGCACAACACCTCCACACCTGAGACTAAACCAGGACTAAACCAGGACTAAACCAGGACTAAAACAGGACTAAACCAGGACTAAAACAAGGACTAAAACAGGACTAAACCAGGACTAAACCAGGACTAAACCAAGGACTAAACCAGGACAACTCAAGGACTAAAACAAGGACTAAACCAAGGACTAAACCAAGGACTAAAACAGGACTAAACCAGGACTAAACCAGGACTAAACCAGGACTAAACCAGGACTAAAACAGGTCTAAACCAGGACTAAACCAGGACTAAACCAGGACTAAACCAGGACTAAACAGGACTAAAACAAGGACTAAACCAGGACTAAACCAGGACTAAACCAGGTCTAAAACAGGACTAAACCAGGACTAAACCAGGACTAAACCAGGACTAAAAACCAGGACTAAACCAGGACTAAACTAAACCAGGTCTAAAACAGGTCTAAAACAAGGACTAAACCAAGACTAAAACAGGACTCAAACAGGATTAAACCAGGACTAAAACAGGACTAAACCAGGACTAAAACAGGACTAAAACAAGGACTAAAACAGGTCTAAAACAGGTCTAAAACAGGTCTAAAACAGGTCTAAAACAGGTCTAAAACAGGACTCAAACAGGACTAAACCAAGACTAAAACAAGGACTAAAACAAGGACTAAAACAGGTCTAAAACAGGATTAAACCAGGACTAAACCAGGACTAAAACAAGGACTAAACCAGGACTAAAACAGGACTAAAACAAGGACTAAAACAAGGACTAAAACAGGACTCAAACAGGATTAAACCAGGACTAAAACAGGTCTAAAACAAGGACTAAACCGAGACTAAAACAGGACTCAAACAGGATTAAACCAGGACTAAAACAGGACTAAACCAGGACTAAAACAGGACTAAAACAGGTCTAAAACAGGACTCAAACAGGACTAAAACAGGACTAAACCAGGACTAAACCAGGACTAAACCAGGTCTAAACCAGGACTAAACCAGGACTAAACCAGGTCTAAAACAGGACTAAACCAGGACTAAACCAGGGACTAAACCAGGACTAAAACTGGTCTGAACCAGGAAGAAGATCTAAACTAGGACTATAACCAGGATTAAACCATGACCAAAACAGGTTTAAACGAGGACTATAGCCAGGACTAAAACCACACTAAAGCAGGTCTAAACTAGGACTATAATCAGACTAAAATGAGCTAAAGAAATACTAAAGCAGGACTAACCCTTAACTGGACTAAAACAGGAACATAACCAGACTAAACCAGGACTAAAACAGGTCTAAACCAGGACCATAACCAGGACCAAGGCAGAACTAAAATAAGACTAAAGCAGGACTATAACTGGTCTAAACCTGAACTAAATAAATACTAAATCAGGACTAAATTATGGTCACATGGGGACTAAACCAGGACTAGAACTAAAGAGATCTAGAGAACTGAACCCAGAACTAAACCTGGTCTCTGTCAGGACTAATCCACCTGTGGTTAACCTCAGTCTCACCTACACAGTCTCTGGTTCTAGTCCCAGGACACATGTTTCTGTTCTCAAACCTTGTGAGGATTACGGCGCTCTGCTGCCTCTTAGTGGTCGTACAGGGGAATTGCAGATTTGTGCACAGAAATAAATAAACTGTGGGATTTATCAGGAACCGATCCTTTAATTTCCATAATTGACCTTTCTGTGTCCCCAAACAGAACAATAATAGTAAAAAGAATATAAATAATTAATAATAAAAGTGTTTTAAAGCTCTGGAGCAAACAGGTGTAACAATATTAAAATCTGTCAGTAAAATATTTTCTTGATTTTCACCTGTGGAGCTGAAAAATATAAATATAAAACATTTTCCTTTTAAAATTCACAGACAAAGTGAGAGTAAAACGTGTTTATGAAAAAAAGCAACTACTGGGTCTAAATCAGGTCCAAACCAGAACTAAACTAGGACTAAACTCGGTCTAAATCAGGCCTAAACAAGGTCTAAACCAGGACCAAACCAGGTCTAAACCAGGACTAAACTAGGACTAAACAAGGACTAAAATGGGTCTAAACCAGGACTGAAACAGGACTAAACCAGGACTAAACCAGGACTAAAACGGGTCTAAACCAGGACTAAACCAGGACTAAACTAAGACTAAACAAGGACTAAAACGGGTCTAAACCAGGACTAAACCAGGACTAAACTAGGACTAAACTAGGACTAAAACGGGTCTAAACCAGGACTAAACCAGGACTAAACCAGGACTAAACTAGGACTAAACAAGGACTAAAACGGGTCTAAACCAGGACTGAAACAGGACTAAAATGGGTCTAAACCAGGACTAAAGCAGGACTAAAACAGGACTAAAACGGGTCTAAACCAGGACTGAAACAGGACTAAACCAGGACTAAAACAGGACTAAAACGGGTCTAAACCAGGACTGAAACAGGACTAAACCAGGACTAAAATGGGTCTAAACCAGGACTAAACCAGGACTAAAACAGGACTAAAACAGGACTAAAATGGGTCTAAACCAGGACTAAAACAGGACTAAAACGGGTCTAAACCAGGACTGAAACAGGTCTAAACTAGGACTATCACCAGAACTAAACTAGGACTAAACTTGGTCTAAATCAGGCCTAAACCAGGTCTAAACCAGGACCAAACCAGGTCTAAATCAGGTCTAAACCAGGACTAAACCAGGACTCTGTAAAGTCCAATAAATCTCACAATCCATTTCATAATTGTCAGTTTTATTGAGTCCGGGTCGAAGCAGAGACGTGTAAATTCAAAAGTGCTTTTCTCTGTTCAAACACAAAAATACGACTCTTAAATTTGGCAAAAAAAACACTCAAAATATTTACAACATTTTCACAAAATCTCTCTCGCTCTCTCTCTCTCCGTCGCCAACGCCATTCGACACAGAAATATACAAACACAAACCAAAAAGTCCAAAAGAAACACAGAAAAAGACGCGGTGAAAACAACGTCGAGAACTCACACAGTAAAGGCACCAGACGGCAAAGACCTGGACGAATACCAAGACTTTCAGATTTCAGATTTTGTACGTTTACAAAAGGCAAATGCAGTAACAACCGGGCTAAGATTCCACAAATACTTGGAAAATATTTGTGGGTAGTAGTAGTAGTAGTAGTAGTAGTACTGGTGGTCAAGATGGTGCTCAAAGTATTTCCAAAAAGTCAAAATATAAACACGGTTCACCTCTTTATATTTTAAAATTCAAGATCTGACCGTCTGAGGTGGAAAATTTAGTTTTTATATTGTAAAAAAAAACGGTATAGACCAGGTAAACCAGGTCTAAACCAGGTCTAAACCAGGTCTTAACCAGGTCTAAAACAGGACTAAACCAGGTCTAAACCAGGTCTACATGAGGCCGAAACCAGGGCTAAACAAGGTCTAAACCATGACTAAATCAGGTCTAAAATAAGTCTAATCCAGGACTAAACGAGGTCTGAACAAGGTCTAAACCAGAACTAAACCAGCTCTACACAAGGTCTGAACTAGGTCTAATCTGGGACTAAATCAGGTCTAAACAAAGTCTAAACTAGGACTAAATCAGGTCTAAATCAGGTCTAAACCAGGCCTAAACATGGTCAAACCAGGTACAAACCAGGTCTAAATGAGGCCCAAACCAAGTCTACAAGAGGTTTAAACCAGGTCTAAACAAGGTCTAAAACAGGACTAAACCAGGTGCTCAAATTATTTCCAAAAAGTCATAAACAAACAGAGTTTCTCTCTTTACATTTTAAAACACAAGCTTTGCCCGTCTGAGGTGTAAAATTTTGTTTCCATATTGTAAAAAAAAAAGTTTTTAAAATTCCATAAACTGCGTCGAGCACTGGAAAACAAACAATATCTAGTTAAATTAAAATGACTTAAATTAAGAACATTTTACTTTATCTGAGTAGATTCAACTTGACAAGTCAAATGATCTACCAATGGAATAAGTGTTTTTCTTAAAATAACAAACAAAACCTAATCTAAAGTTGTTTTTTTGTACTTAAAATATGAAAATACATCCTGGTACACTTAAGAAAAAAAACTTTTTGCCCTTAAAATAAGAAATTAAATCAAATTTTACTTGATTTAAGTGCAAAAAAGTTGTTGTTTTTCTTATTCTATGTGCAGCAAGATGTATTTTCATATTTGAAGTACAAAAAGTCTTGCTCCACTGGCAGATCATTTTACTTGTGTGAAATTTGTTAATTCAAGTCATCTTAACTTGTTTTGTTTGTTTTGCAGTGAGCTATGGCGGCGTAATGTTTTAAAAGGTTCATTCAACCTAAAAACTAAAATCTAGTCAAGTTCAGATGACTTGAATTAACAAAGTTTGAGTAAATTTCACACAAGTAATGATCTGCCAGTGTAACAAGACTTTTTGTACTTTAAATATGAGAATAGATCCTAGTACTTTTAAGAAAAACAACAACTTTTTGCACTTAAATCAAGCAAAATTAGATTTTGTTTCTCATTTTAAGTGCAAAAAGTTGTTGTTTTTCTTATTTTAAGTGCAGCTGTAGATGTATTTTCATATTTTAAGAACAAAAAGTCTTGTTCCACTGGCAGATGCTTTTGAAATTTACTCAAATTATGATAAAACTTAACAAAATCTAGTCAAGTTAAGTTGACTTGAATTTACTTTTTGCAGTGAGCTATGGCGGCGTAATGTTTTAAAAGGTGCATTCACCGCAAAAACTAAAATCTAGTCAAGTTAAGACGACTTGAATTAACAAAGTTTGATCATGGTTTGAGTAAATTTCACTTAACAAGTAAAATTATCTGTTAATTGGAACAAGACTTTTGGAACTTAAAATATAAAAACACATCCTGAAAAACAACAACTTTTTACACTTAAAATAAGAAACAAAATCATAAAACACTTATTCCTTTGGTAAATAATTTCACTTGACAAGTTGAATTGACTCAAATAAAATCAAATGTTCTTAATTTAAATCATTTTATCTTTCCTGGATATTGATTTTTGCTTTGTCTGGAATGTTCCACAGTATGGCATTAAACCTTTCCATCTCCAGCGACCAAACCAGACCAAGTTACAGGTCAGATCTGTGAAGAGGCGACCCCGCTCACAGTCAGAATGTTGTTTTTTGAGCATTTTTGAGCTATAAAACCACCTGTAATTGAATAAATGTAAAGTCGAGCTGTTTAAAGTCACACTGTGGAACATTCCAGGCCGAGCTGTGACGTACCCATAGAAACGAGCAAGTTACGCAGCGCATCTTTAACTATAATAGACCGTTTTCTGTCTGAGATTATCAAAAGGAGTCTTAAAAAAAATACAAAAAACAGCTGAAACTTTTACTCCTTTGGACGAACGAGGAATTACACAGTTTAATTTCTAATACAGTAACTTAAAAACGGCGAAAACAAATAAACGAAACCATGATCACTGCTTACGACAGTTTTATTTTGGAGGTATTGCCTACGAAAAATTTTTGGGGCTGCCTTTCTGTCTCATGTTGAAGCATTTACAGACGGGAGAGCTCCCCCTAGTGGCCCTAAACCCTAAGCACAACAATAAAGCAGCGTCGATTTCTGCGCGGAAATTAAAACTATACAAGCAGTTTTGGGCTTTAAATGTCTAAAAATGAGACGTTCTTTGACACACCTTCACAGTTTTTAAGCTTTAAGTCGAGTTATAATGTTGTTATTATCAAAAACAGACCTGGAGTTGTGTTTTGTTTCAGTCCCGCTCTTTTTCACTGATAAAATTTCAAAACTTTCAAGATTTTTCATGACCTAAAGTGAATTTTCCATGACTTTACTGATCAGACTTTTAGGGCTAAATGAAATATGAAATGTTAACTCTTTCCACTCAGTTTATGGTTTGGTTTTATAGTTTTTTAACATTCAAAATATTGTCAATTAGGGATGTAACGATATCCAAATCTGACGGTACGATATTATCACGATATGCGTCTCTCGGTCAGCCAGACTCATCAGACGGTTTCACTTCGTGGAAACCGTCTGACCTCACAGTATTAGGAGTCGTTCTCTTGACAGTAGGCAGGTACTTTTTTTTATTTAACCAATCACTGCTATTTTTGTCCAAACATTCTCTTTGTTCCGGCTTTAAATCCTCAATCTCAGGAATTGCCAACACAGAATGTATGACTCTTCGCTGATTGGCTGGTGCCAGAACTCACATTTCCGTCTAGTGCAGACATGTCAGACTCAGGCCCGGGGGCCAAATTTGGCCCGATATATAATTATATTTGGCCCGCGAGATCATATCAAACATGTATTAGAGATGGTCCGGCGGCTAAAAATAGACTAACGAGACATTATTTATTTAAAATATTGTTATTATTTTATATTATGTTTGTTCTGGATTCAATGTTTAAGCAAAACTATTATTAAACATTTATTTTAATAAGAAAAGGTTTAACATTACATATCTCAAAAGAAGAGAAAACATGCAGATGTTGGTGAAATTTTTCAATAAATATTTAGTTTGGCCCACGACTTAGTCCCAGTTTTTAATTTTGGCCTCTGTGAATTTGAGTTTTGCCACCCCTGGTCTAGTGTATCTGATTCCTGAGCAGAGACACTAGGTGGCGCCAGACTGGTTCTCTCTCGGTACGATATTATCACGATATTTTGGAGAGGCTGCTGTAGTTGTAGATGGGACACGTTTCTGCTTTTAAAAAATGAAATTTTGGTGTGAATTATTACCGTCATAATCCCAAAAATTCAAGTTAAAAACATCTGTTCATGTTGTCTGCACTGAAATGAATCATGGGATATGTAGTTCCTGATGTTCATAAGCTGTTGCTCCTATAAACCATGTATTTAAGCAAAGGAACTTGTGATTCGATATATTGTGACATTTAACAATATTATTGTGAGACTTCTGACGATGCAGTATCATGATATTTTGGTTGCTGTTACATCTCTACTCTCAGTGCATTTATTGTCGTCTCGTTTAAACAAAAGGCGCAAACGTTTGGAAATGATCACAATAGCCGAATGAGAATTTAACAGAACACTGTAGTTGTGTGAAAAAGACCATAGAACCTTGTAGTTTATGTCTCCAAAGCTAAAAATTATTTTAAAAAAAAAATGCTCTGTTCCACTTTGTGATGTCATATAGTGGTAGTTTTCATGTAAACAGTTTACTTTTTGTTCAGTAGAGACTGGAAATTGAAGAGACTGAGAACATCCAAATGATTCCTGCACTATGATTCTAGACGATTCTGAACGTCTATAAAGTTTAAAAACACAGTGGAGCTCTTCCTGTATTACCACATGACATCACAAGGTGGAACAGAGCGTTTTCTGCGTGAGAGAAGAGCTCAGTCTAAATACGCAGAGTGTGAATTAAACAAAAAAACAACTCCAGGTTTCGTTTGTGATGGCGAAACATTATAATGTGGATCAGAAAATAGCGTCATGTGGGAACTTTAAATCTTGTTTGAATAGTTTTTTCGATGCAAAAATAGAACATTTTCGTACAAAAATACGGCACTAGAGGTTAAAGGGAGTTAAATACTGTTCTTGTGTCCGTGTTTAAACCTTTACAAAAGTATTTTATGTAAATACAGACTTTACAGTTGCAGTTCGAGGCTCTGAAGGCACAGTACAGCGGCCAGTCTTTCTCTTTACACAGGGGCGTGGAAGCTCCGCCCCCCGTTTGCAGCAGTCCTGTCTGCGATTGGCCGAGGGTGCGAGGTCGGGGGTCACCGGGGGGCGATCTCGGGGACCATGGCGGACAGGTGCATGCTGGGATACGAGTCCCGGTGGCGGATTTTGAAGACGAGCTGCTCCTTTTCCTGAGAGAGGCGCTGGTTCAGGCTCAGCTGACGGTCCAGGGCCAACTTCAACTCCTGCTGCTCCTTGGACAACTGCCTACGGAGACAAAACAGGGACAAAAGACATTTAAAAAGGTTTTATATTACACACAAAAGTGACTCTTGTGGGCTTTACTCCATGTTTCCTCATCAAAAACTGCATGTGAATGAAACAAAACACAGCTCCAGGTTTAACTTTTCTTCTTTTCTTTTTAATTTAGTAGAGATCGGCAATTCCAGGACTGAAATTATCCAAATGATTCTAGTGAAGTTTAAAAACGCAGTGGAGCACTTCGAGTATTATCACATGACGTCACAAGGTGGAACAGAGTGTTTTCAGTTTGAGAGAAGAACTCTTTGAATTTGAGACAACAGCCAAAAACCGAGAACCAGTACTTTGTGAACCACCACGGTTTCAAACCAGGTTAGAAGATACAGAATAGTAGAATTATATTAATGCTGTTCTTCCCCACTAGAGGGCAGCATCTTATAACACACTACATACCTGCATGACAAAGTGAAACGATGCAGTGCTGTTGTGTACAGACACAGACACACAGAGAGACACAGACACAGAGGGACAGAGGGACACAGACACAGACACACAGACTCAGACACAGACTCAGAGACAGAGGACACAGACACAGAGGGACACAGAGGGACACAGACACAGACACAGAGGGACACAGACACAGAGACACAGAGGGACACAGACACAGAGGGACACAGACACAGAGACACAGGGACACAGAGGGACAGAGGGACACTGACACAGATGGACACAGAGGGACACAGACACAGAGGGACACAGAGGGACACAGACACAGACACAGAGGACACAGACACAGAGGGACACAGACACAGAGACACAGAGACACAGAGGGACACAGACACAGAGGGACACTGACACAGAGACAGAGACACAGAGACACAGAGGGACAGAGACACAGAGGGACACAGACACAGAGGGACACAGACACAGAGGGACACAGACACAGAGGGACACAGAGACACAGAGACAGAGACACAGAGGGACACAGAGACACAGAGGGACACAGAGAGACACAGAGGGACACAGACACAGAGGGACACAGACACAGAGGACACAGACACACAGAGGGACACAGACACAGAGACACAGAGGGACACAGAGAGACACAGAGGGACACAGAGACACAGGGACACAGAGACACAGAGGGACACAGACACAGAGGGACACAGACACAGAGACAGAGGGACACAGAGACACAGAGGGACACAGACACAGAGACACAGACACAGACACAGAGGGACAGAGGGACAGACACAGAGGACACAGAGGGACACAGACACAGAGGGACACAGAGGGACACAGACACAGAGGGACACAGAGGGACACAGAGGGACACAGACACAGAGGGACACACAGACACAGAGACACAGAGGGACACAGACACAGAGACACAGAGGACACAGAGGGACACAGACACAGAGACACAGAGGGACACAGACACAGAGACACAGACACAGAGGACACAGAGGGACACAGACACAGAGGGACACAGAGGGACACAGACACAGAGGACACAGACACAGAGGGACACAGAGGGACACAGACACAGAGACACACAGAGGGACACAGACACAGAGACACAGAGGGACACAGACACAGAGGGACACAGACACAGAGGACACAGACACAGAGGGACACAGACACAGAGGGACACAGAGGGACACAGACGGACACAGAGACACAGAGGGACACAGACACAGACACAGACACAGAGACACAGACACAGAGGACACAGACACAGAGACACAGAGGGACACAGAGACACAGAGGGACACAGAGACACAGAGGGACACAGACACAGAGGGACACAGACACAGAGGACACACAGACACAGAGACAGAGGGACACAGAGACACAGAGGGACACAGAGACACAGAGGGACACAGACACAGAGGGACACAGACACAGAGACACAGAGGGACAGAGGGACACTGACACAGAGGGACACAGAGGGACACAGAGACACAGAGAGACACAGAGGGACACAGACACAGAGGGACACAGACACAGAGGGACACAGACACAGAGGGACACATAGAGACACAGACACACATAGAGACACAGAGACAAAGTGCTGTTCTTACTGAATGAAACTCTGGCAGTTGTCAAAGCGAACTTGCAGGTCCTCGTTCTGCTGCAGCTCCTGGATCAGCTGCTCCTCCAGACTCTGGTTCTTCTGCCTCTGCAAAAAAACAAACGCAAACACACAAATACATTTGGGTCCAGTCAAGTGGTAACGGAGGGAAACGGGGACAGATTTTTGACATTCAAATGTCTCTTATTCAGAAACTAGAGGGACTATTGAAATAAGTAAAGTATCAGAATGTAGGAAAGAGTTACACTCCAACAGGGTCAAGTTAAACCTGTGATATTCTTTCAAGTTGTTGACAAAAAAATAAAAAACTCATGTTGGTAACGGAGGGAATGAAATATGCAGCACTTTTTGGGCAATAAATCCAAACAGTGATAACTCTTGGTTCTCACTTACATATCCTTAACAAACTGGTTTGAATATTTGCTTCATATAGTTTTCTACCATATGGTACAAGATTAGGTTGAAAAACCTCTTACTTTTTGACTCATGAGATTTTTTTATGAAGAAAGGTCATGGTAACGGAGGGAAAAGTAACGGAGGGAAAATTGTGCAAACAAGTAGAAGGTGCAGGATTTTACATCATTTGTCAACTTTTTTCTTCCCAATACTTTAATATTACTTCAAAATTAAAGGAAACTATTTCTATAAAATATGTCAGTTCTTCCAAGTAAATTTTTAGCATTTTAAATACATTTAAAAAAAAAAATCCTGTCCCTTCATCAACAGTTCAAAGATGGAATAACACAAGATATGATGAAATACATCCATTTATTTACATGATTTGCAGGTCTTTGAAATTTGGGAAAAAATTTTTGTTCCATGTTTCATACATGGTCTGTTTAAAACGTTTCATAAACTAGAGTACATATGTATCTGTTCAATACATTTTTATATCAGATGCATTAACTTGATTTTTTGGCCTTGTTGTTTACTTCTGCTTGACTGGGCCCATTAGATCAGGATTTAGGAGACCACAAATGTACAGACAGAAGAGGAGTCCATCTGCAGCTTTGAACCCTCCACTACGTGAAAACCATTTCAGGAGACTTCATGAAGATTAGTGGAGCTGTTTTCAGGCCGGAGACAACGGTGTCGCTGCCGGTTCCCACACCAGTTACAGTGGGAACCAAAGTGCTTACGGGTGAACAGAGGATTTCACAGCACGGAAAATAACAATCATGGATCGACATCAGCAAACATTTGTACTCATACAAATTATTAATTATCTGCGCCAAACGCTGCTAAAACAAATGCTGTGGAGAAGGCGGCAGCAACGCCCAATCCACAGATGTAACCTCACCGGGCGAACACAGATAGAGCAAATATTTGTTCTACTCCACTGAACACTGCACAATCTTCTTCTCACTTGATTTCTCCTCCATGTTCCACACACACGTTTTCTTTCTTTGTTTATTTTACCGCGTGTGACCTGGATGAACCTGCTGACATCTACTGTGTCATCACAATTTGTTTGGAAAAAACAAGTTTTACTTTTTGGTTCCACGAATGCTCTGATTATCAGCGTGAACACGTCAGTCAGTTTGAGATCGGGTGCGAGAACCGGCACCGGCACAGTTTTCGGTCGGCCTGAAAACACTAAGAAAGAAGAGAGTTTGTGCAGTAAAACAAACAAAAAACACTGAATGAGATGGGGTGTCAGAACTTTTGACTGATAGTGCAAGGACAATTCCTTTTCTTTTTCATAGACTTAAAAGAGCAGTTTTGAGAAAGAGAACTTGTGTGGAACTTTAAAACCGCAGAGGAGCGGCCTGGACAGAGACATACTAACATACTGTATTTTCCAGGCTATTAGACGCGCTAAGACTCTAACCCCATCAAAAAACGAAATCCACTGGGGCGTCCCAGCACGACTTTAGTAAACTACAAAGCCGCAAACACACACAGAACAGACAGCGACCGCACGGCGAAAAACACCCACAGACACTCATCACTCCACGAAGACGAGGAACGGAACAGAGGAACGAACCGAAAAAGCGAGTGCAACGTGACGCTTCTAGACACGACTGAACAACTGAGTCACTGCGAACACGCCAAACAAAACCACTCACCCATCAAACTGTTGTGTTTCCTTTAAAGTTCGGTTTATTTGTGAAAGAAGTTCGAAAATAGACCATTTAATGACAGTGCGACTTATAATCCAGAGCGACTAATAGTGCAGAAAATACGGGACTCACCAGCGCGTCCATCTGCTGCAGCCTCCTCCTGTGCTCCTCCACCTGCTCCGCCTTCATCTCAATCACAAACAGCAGAGACTCCTGCTCCGACTCCCAGAATGCACCTGGGCTGCCGTGGGCCTGCACACGAAACAACAACATCATCAACAACAACAACAAAGAACCAGAACCAGAGCCCGGACCACCCCCCCGCTCCTCCAGAACCAGAGCCCGGACCACCCCCCACTCCTCCAGAACCAGAGCCCGGACCCCCCCCGCTCCTCCAGAACCAGAGCCCGGACCACCCCCCGCTCCTCCAGAACCAGAGACGACCACCCCCGCTCCTCCAGAACCAGAGCCCGGACCACCCCCCGCTCCTCCAGAACCAGAGCCCGGACCACCCCCGCTCCTCCAGAACCAGAGCCCGGACCACCCCCTCACTCCTCCAGAACCAGAGCCCGGACCACCCCCTCACTCCTCCAGAACCAGAGCCCGGACCACCCCCGCTCCTCCAGAACCAGAGCCCGGACCACCCCCCGCTCCTCCAGAACCAGAGCCCGGACCACCCCCCACTCCTCCAGAACCAGAGCCCGGACCACCCCCCGCTCCTCCAGAACCAGAGCCCGGACCACCCCCCGCTCCTCCAGAACCAGAGCCGGACCACCCCCCCGCTCCTCCAGAACCAGAGCCCGGACCACCCCCCGCTCCTCCAGAACCAGAGCCCGGACCACCCCCCGCTCCTCCAGAACCAGAGCCCGGACCACCCCCCGCTCCTCCAGAACCAGAGCCCGGACCACCCCCTCACTCCTCCAGAACCAGAGCCCGGACCACCCCCTCACTCCTCCAGAACCAGAGCCCGGACCACCACCCCCTCACTCCTCCAGAACCAGAGCCCGAACCACCCCCTCACTCCTCCAGAACCAGAGCTCAGAAAACTCGCGCTCCTCCAGAACCAGAGACCAGACTACCCCTGCTCCACCAGAACCAGAGACTGGACCACCCCCCACTCCTCCAGAACCAGAGCCCGGACCAACTCCCTTTCATCCAGAACCAGAGCCCGGAAAACCCCCTCACTCCTCCAGAACCAGAACCAGAGCCCAGCCCAACAGGTGATTTATGTTTAACCCTGGTTTAGCAGCGTGTTCAAAGCTGCAGAGTTACTTTATATGAAGGTAGATTCTCTCCGATAACAACAAAACCTCCTCCAAACCACTTTAAAAAATGCTAAACCCGGCTTATAGTTATAAATATAATTCAAATATAAACTATGAAAAGCAGAAACGTGTTATTTTTAAACGTTTTACAGTGGTTCAAAGTCACTCCTCATTTCCATAAGTCGTTCCAAATACACAAATTCTTCACGGTGACGAGTTTTTCACAGCATTCAGACCGCGCCGGAGTTTCACTGTCACACTAAAGCTCGAAATGAAAATAGCCTGCTAACAGAGCACTACTGTTACTTCCTGATTCTTGGAGGATAAAATTAGAATCAGACAGTAGAGCAGAGCGGTGTACAGTACAACAGAGAAATGCAGTGACGGCCAGGGGGGGTTTCCGTTTATTTCTCTCAGGCTTTTCAAAAAATAAACATTAAAAGTCTAAAAGCTCGGGGATAATCAGCTACACGGTAACTAATGACAAAAAGAGCAACGGTTTTATTTAAAATCTGTTTCTAAAACTTTATAAACCGCTAAGTTATCAAAACATTTAAGCAGAATTTTGTGTTTTAGATGTGCTTTTTGGATCATGTTACGGATATTACTACAGAGCTGCTTAAACTCTGATACTTTTGAACTCTTATTTCAAGTCTCTGGGAAAACTGAACGGAAAATTTACTTCCAGAACCGGAGCGAGCGTCACCGTTCAGCTCCATTAACCCAGGTCCTTCTATGGAAACTGATAAAACTCTGGGCTGAAACAAACTCCTCAAGTCTCTGAACACGGCAGAGGTTAAAAATACAAGTGGTTCACAGGAAACACCTGAAACTGTACTGTATTTTTTGGTCTATAAGTCGCACTTTTTTCATGTTTTGGGTGTTTCCTGCGACTTATATATTAAAATTTTCACAGTGAAGCGGTGAGAGGTTCTAGTCTTGTGTGTCAGTATCTGCTGCTCCTGTTCCTCCTGTACCACTGTCACTTGGCTCTACTGCGCATGTCTCCTGCAGAAAGAGCCTCTGTCCTGTCTGTATCATGTCAGTCGATCGCACCGTTACTTCTGCACCACTGAACAATTTAACATTTAAACAAACTTATAAAGACAAAGACTGAGAAAACTGAACACAAATGTCCCCAAAAAGAAAATCAGATTTTGCAGATTACAAACTGCAAGTCGTGAAATCTGCAGCTGAAAATGGCAACTTTCCTGAAGTCACTGGATGGATGGACAAAGTCTGGACTTCAGTGACACTGAAACCATCCTGTCGGGATTCAGAAAGGCCCGAATAATTCTAACTGGAACTGATGCTGAGTCTGACGACAGCGACACAGAAGAGGAAGCGGCGCTCTGTTTACCTCCGGAGGTCGTGGAGTTGCTCAGAAGTGACACCGAGGATGAAGAATTTATTTATTTATTTATTTATTTGAGACAGGGACAGCACACAATTTTTGCATTAATCTTAACAGCAGAGATGTTTGTACATCAGGTTGTAGCATCAGTTCTAATTTCCACCTGTCCCTGTGCAGATTCATTGACTGATTGTGTTTAACTGACCTTAACTATCAACTGAATTGAATGGATTTAGTGATTTGGAGTGAGATGCAGAGTTTGTTAAACTTGTTCTGTCCTGTTGTTTATGTTATAGTTTATCTGAAGAACTGTGAAATATGTGACATTAACAGTCTGTTGTTCTCTCTTCTTTTGTTGTTACTAGAACTTGATTTTACACAGGAAATGTCAGTTCCTGGTCTCTGATTTTATAAAATACATTTCCCCCAAAAAGTGCGACTTATATCAGGGTATCACCAGGTTTGACTACCCCAAATTTAATTCTTTTTAAAGACCACTTAAATGAAAATTAAGACCAACATCGCACTCATTATGCAGGCAAAAAACTCCAGATCCAATTCTAATAATGACCATTACTCACCGTTTTAAATAACAAAAAATACTTTATATAAACTCTCATTCAGAACTCATTTATATTAGTATGCACTGCTTGTAAAATGACAACAAAAATCATTTATAATGTTAAAAATATATTTATGTTGGGGTTTTTTCCTCCCTCCATTTAACATTGCACTGCAGCCCGGTTGAGTAAACAAAAACAAAAACAAAAAAGATGCAAATGAAATTCATAACTAAGACTTGGACAACGTAATTTAAGACTTTTTAAGGTCTTAATTTAGGAACATGAAATTTAAGACCTTTTAAGACTTTTAAGACCCCGCGGCGACTCTGTATATATGTTTGTTTGTTTTTTCATTACACATTTTTTGGCTGGTTCGACTTATATGCCGGAGCAACTTATAACCCGAAAAATATGGTAGTTTTTTTTTGGACCCGTTGTCTCACCTGGATGTTCCTCTTCAGGTCCCTCTTTAGCGTGGACTCCTTCACTCTCCTCTTCAGCTCGTTGTAAACCTGCAGGTCGGACGTCAGCGCCTCCACCTGGCCCTGGAGGAACATCGCACATTTAAGTCATAATATAAAATCACATAATCACAAACTTCTCCTCCTGGTCCTAAAAACACAAAACACTTAAAGTCTCCAGATGAGCCACGTTTTACCTTCAGAACATTTTCAGCAGCTTCGAACTTCTCCGTCAGCTCGGTGATTTCTCGTTTGTGGGCCTTTTGAAGCTCTGGAAAGTTCAGATTATAATGAATTATTTTAAAATATCCATAAACTCAATGTAGTTTATGTTTACATCATGAACAAAAACACAAATGAGGCAAAGAGGAAAACAACTGTGACCATAAATGAAACATAAATAACAGAAAAGAGGAGGAGCTTAACTGGAAGTAGATTAGATCAGTAACAGTAGCAGTAAGTGGTAGTAGTAGTATTAGTAGTAGTAAACTGTAAGTATCACAAGTACAAGTAAGTAGTAGAAAGTAGTAGAAAGTAGTAGAAAGAAGTAGTAGTAGCACAAGTAAGTAGTAGTAGTAGTGGTAGTGGTAGTAGTAGTACAAGTAAGTAGTAACTAGTAGTAGAAAGAAGTAGTAGTAGTAGTAGTAGTAGTAGTACTACAAGTAAGTAGTAACTAGTAGAAAGTAGTAGTAGAAAGTAGTAGTAGTAGTAGTAGTAAGCTGTAAGTAGCACAAGTACAAGTAAGTAGTAGAAAGAAGTAGTAGTAGTAGTAGTAGTAACAGCACAAGCAGTAAGTAGTAGAAAGTATTAATAGTAGTACAAGTAAGTAGTAAGTGGTAGTAGTAGCAGTAGTAAGTAAGTAAGAAGTAAGTAGTAACTAGTAGAAAGTAGTAGTAGCTAGTAGTAGTTGTAGTAGTAGCAGCAGCAGTATACAAGTAGTAAGTAGTAGTAGCAGTAATAGTTTTAGTAGTACAAGTAAGTAGTAAGTAGTAGAAAGTTGTAGTACAACTAAGTAGTAAGTAGCAGTAAGTAACAGTAAGTAATAGTAGTACAAGTAGTAGAAGCAGTAGCAGCAAGTAGTAACTAGTAGAAAGTAGTAGTACAAGTAAGTAGTTAGTAGAAGTAGTAGTAGTAGTAGTAGTAGTAGTAGTAGTAGTAGTAGTAGTAGTAGTAGTAGTAGTAGTAGTAGTAGTAGTAGTAGTAGTAGCAGTAGTAGTAGTAGTAGTAGTAGTTGTATTTGTACCTTCCATTTGTCTCTCATGTTCTTCTGAAGCAGCTTTACTTTTTTGTTCATATAAAACATTTAAATCTGCTGTTGTTTCTGTTTTTACCTGAAAAGAATAAGAGAAAAAGACGAGTAAATAATGATTGAGTCCGGTCCTGGACCTGGACCTGAACCTGAACCAGGTCCTGAACTAGACCCTGAGCCCGGACCTGAACCCGCAGGTGGTCCCTTACCTTGTCCAAGATGCTGTTGACCAGGGCGCACACCTCCTCGTGGGCGTGGCCTTTCAGAAGCTCCGCCCTTGCCGCGTTCCCATTGGCCGAGAGCACTTCCTTTAGCGTCCGGAGCTGCCACTCAAACTTCTCCAGCTGCTTCTCCAGACACAGGTCAGAGCCGCAGCCGGGGTCTAAGAGAGGACGAGAGGACGGCCCGGTTTAGAGACAAGTCCAGACAGTCCAGGGAGTCCAGGGAGTCCAGACCTCCAGCCCACACAGAGTCCAGTCTCCAACACTCCCCACAAACAGTCTAGTCCTCTACCTCCCACAGAGTCTAAACCTCCCTTAACCCCCCAACAACCAGAGTAGGGCTCAGCAGTTAATCAAATTTGTGTTTTTAATCATCGTCATTCATGATAATTGTAAAATTGAAGATTATTATGAAACAGGTTAACTCCAGACTTTTTTACTTTGCAAACCAGGGATATTGTGCAATTACAATTATCTTTACAAATATAATTTAAGGAGGTTTACAATTTCTTAAAGGTGCATTATGCAACTTTTCTTGTTTCTATGGATACGTCATTGCTCTACATTGTGACATTAAACAGCTCTACTTTACTTTTAGTCAATTACAGGTGGTTTTAAAGCTCAAAAATACCTTGAAAAACAGACATTCTGATTGTGAGCGGATAGAACGATAGAAACATTTTTATGCCATTCTGAGAAACATTTCAGACAAATCAATAACATCTTCCATGGAGAAAAGCGTTTGACGGACACGCCACCAGAAATGTTACAGAATGCATCTTTCACCCTCCTGCACCCCGGTACATTTTTGTACATCAACTTTTTTTTTTTGCATAACTTTGGCCAATTTTGGTGCTATTTGGTGCAGTACAGCCAGTTTGTGTATTTATTTAAATATTTTAAATTTCTGTTTTTTGATCACATTAATTGAACGGTCTACAAATCAAAATACTCAAACCCGTGGTCCTTCAGTACATTTTTGTCCCATTGACTTCCATTCAAAATGGCTTTTTTACTGGCACAACTTTGCCAGTATATATTTTCTTTATTTATTTTTCATTCTTTGGTCTTGAAAAACCTTCAAAACTTTTTTGTTTTAGTGTCTTTGAATTTTTTGATATTTTTTTATTTACTGTGTATGTTACATTACAAGGTTATATCAATAGAAAACATCTTGTACAGACCGGAGACGTAGATATTTGAGGTTAAAATGATATGTTTGTGTTCTAGAGGAGCCCCCAGCCTCTGATAATTAAAATCACTTGAATGATAGAAAAAAATAATAAAAAATCATGGACATAATTTGATAATTTTGCTGTCAAAAATGGCATTTAAAGGGTTCAAATTTAAATTTATTATATATTAGTTGGTATGTAATGAAGACATTGATATAAAAACCTGGACAAAAATCTGTACTGCATAAACATTTTGTGGTATTCTTTTCCCGTGTACATTTTTATCACGAAGGACCACGGGTGTGATCATTTTAAAAGGGGTGCATGAGGACTAAATAATATCATACAAGAAGAATGAAAAAAGCTGTTCCTACTTTGACATCTGTTAAAATCATAATAGTCCAGTGTGTGCAAAAAATAATAAAAAATAATAATCAAGATTTTATTTTTTGGCTTTATCACCCAGCCCTACCACATCCCAGAGAGTCTAAAACGGACTGTCTGGTAAGGTGAGGTACTAAAGTCTTGGTTTGGTCGTGCTTTAGTCCAGTTTTAAACCTACTTCTCAACCTATGAACTTTAAAGACCACACACACACACACACACACACACACACAAACAGCAGTACATCGTAAAAGTACAGGGGGTAGCAGCAGTCGAGTTGTTTTTAAAACCCAGAGTAAAACCCCTTTTTACTTCTGCCCGTATTATTTTCTCATTAATTTGTTCCTTCTCTCTATGAAGTCATCCTTATAAAACATTACAGGCGTTTGCTGCGCCGCGATTGGCCGGGCTCCTCGCGGTCCCAGGCGTGTTCCGGGCTCCGATTGGCCGAGGGTGACGTCATGGTCGTGTTCGGACGTGCCTCTGCTCTGTGACTGCTGCTTGTTTTGGATCCGTGTGGATGAGTCTGAGCCACAACAGTTCTGCTCCTTTTCAACAAGTTGTTATTTCAGCGCAAGGACCGGTTCATTCACAAAAACAACATTTACAAGAGTTATCCAGGAATTATCCAAGAGTTATCCAGGAGTTATCCAAGACACTCCACCGGAAATCTGACCCCGACTGTTGCAGAATAAAAGTCAAATTAGGAAAAGTACAATTGTTACAACTACTACTACTACTAAAATAAGGGGAAGTGCAATTGTTGTTCCCCTTATTTTAGTAGTAAAAACAACTGTACTTATCCTAATTTTAGTTGTAGTAATAACAATTGTACTTCTAATTTTAGTAGTAGTAGTAGTAGTAGTAGTAGTAGTAGTAGCAAGAACAATTGTTGTTGTTACTACTACTAAACTTAGGAGAAGTGCAATTGTTGTTCTCCTAATTTTAGTAGTAGTAGTAGTAGTAGTAGAAGTAGTAGTAGTAGTAGTAGTAGTAGTAGTAGTAGTAGTAGTAGTAGTAGTAGTAGTTAGTAGTAGTAGTAGTAGTAGTAGTAGTAACAATTGCACTTAATACTACTAAAATTAGTACAAAAGTACAATTGTTGTTACTATAACTACTATTGTTGTTGTTACTACTACTGCTAAAATTAGAAAAAGTACAACTGTTGTTGTTACTACTAAAATTAGAAGTACAATTATTGTTGTTACTACTAAACTTAGGAGAAGTACAATTGTTACTACTGCTACTGCTACTACTACCACTACTACTCCTACTTTCTGATTTACGTTATAATGTTTGTCAGTCACAAACAGACCTGAAGTTGTGTTTTGTTTCGTTCACATTAGGCCTGTAACAATAATCAATAAATCAATTACTCATACAACAACTTTTAACGAGCTCGATAACTTTTCTGGCCATGATAAATTGTATTTGCATGCTTGTTTGTTTTCTTCGCTCTCTCTCGCTCTCAGAGAGACTGAATGTTAGAAGCTTCTATCGCTCTCTGACTCCTCTAGTTTAACAAGAGTAATGACGCTTGAACCAATGTGAGCTGTGCTTATCGACACAGTGGATGCGCGCGTAGTCTGAGTGCAGAAAGCGACGCTGTCTGTGCGGCTAAATATGAAGCCGCAAGACAAACTACCGCCGCTGTCAGAACCAAAACAGTTCATCGCTGAGTGACAAAACAAGTCACGATGCCGAAACAACACGGGTGAGCGGGACACGTCTCAACAGCCACGTGCGTCAAATGCAGCGAGCGCACAAACGACGAGAAGAAATGTGTCAAACCCCAACAGCCGATAGAAACCCAAACCCGAGCGACAGAACTAGTCAATCCACTGAAATCCCACAAGACACCGACACGATACCAGACAGGATCCTGTGTCGCGGGTTAATACGAACATTTAAATGACCAAAATGACGAGGCCACAGCAGCAGCCACAGAGAGACAAGACACAATATTCCAACGTAAGTCAATAACTAAAATCACTTTTGAAGGCAATTTTGTTACAGAGACTTAATAATCAATTTTATTTATTGCTTTGGTTGTGTTTGGTTCAACAATGGTTTATTCAAGTGCATTTTTTGTGAACAAGTCCTCGATGTGAGCCAGATACATTAGACTATTCTTATGTTAACAAGTCTGTTTTATTTAGGCCTGTTTTTTTGGTTATCTTACAGTTCGTGTGTTAAATGTTCTTTAGAAAATAAGGTTAATTGATCTTTGAAAGGGTGTATTTGCATTTTTATTCCATGGTCATTATATTAGTTGAAATTGGTCTCAAAATGTCAATATTATCGTTTATCGCAATAAATTCTCAGTCAACTAATCGTCCAGCAAAATCTGTTATCATTACAGGCTTAGTTCACACATGTTTAACACTTAAAACCTGCATATTTAGGCCTGTTCCACCTTGTGACGTCATGTGGTAATACAGGAAGTGCTCCAATGTGTTTTTTTTTTTTTTTTTTAGTCCTGGAATTGCTCATCTCTACTAAACTAAAAGTAAAAGAAGCTGTTTTTCGTGACATCACAAGGTGGAACATAGCATTTTGAGCTTTGGAGATGTCGACAGACTGATAATAAATACAGGTTTACTCAAACATGTGTGAGTGAAATGTTTTTGATGAGGTAATAACAGGTTCTAACACGGCTTAAAGCTCACAAGAGTCAATTTTGTGTAATATAGGAGCTTTAATTCAGAACTAATCTCTAACTATTACCACCTTTTTGTTAATTCCTATGTCTTGATCCGGGGATAAGCCGCGCCAGACAGGATGGACTAACTTTACTTGACATCACAGCTTTCCCTTTAATATCCGATGACAATTTGAGATCAAGGAAAAGTTCATTGACGTTGCAGATGCAGATGTTTCTTGTTTTATAAAAAGTTGTTTGTCTGATGAACCTAGACTGAAATCCTCTGCACCGGATCCTCAGTCTGGTCACATCGTCTGCGTCTCAACCATAGACTCTAGATATAAATGGAAGTGAGCAGGTGCACGTTTCCGGCTCCACTGACACTGGTTCCAATTGACTTTCCGTTGAAAAATTGTCTGCTGTGAGCCTCGTCATTTTGGTCTTAAAATGTTCTTATTAACCCGCTATACATGACCCTGGTTTGTTTTAATTTTGCGGTTTTGTCCGTAAATAAATTCCTATTCCTAATATGGAACTGGCTCCAAATTCCCTCCTATAACTGCCGACCTCGGTGAGCTTCATTTGACTGGAGCCGAACGCTACGGGAGACGTCCCACTCCCTTGGTCCACTTGGTTTCTATTTCTGTCTATGGTCTCAAGCCAAACTCAGCTGTCCAGTCAGATTTGTTTATGTCACTGACATTTGGGAAATGGAGGAGCTTATTGGTGAAACGTCTTCCCAAACGTCTCCCAAACGTCTCCCAAACGTCTCCCAAACGTCTCCCAAACGTCTCCCAAACGTCTCCCAAACGTCTCCCAAACGTCTCCCAAACATCTCCCAAACATCTCTGTGAAACCTCCCTGAAACCTTCTCTCAAACCTCTCGCCAACATCTCTCCAAATTCTCCCAAATGTCCCTCAAAAGTATCTCAAACTTCTCCCAAACACATCCCTCAAACCTCTCTTGAACCTCCCCCAAACCTCCCACTAACCTCTTTCAAACTTCACCCAAACATCACCCAAATGTCCCCCAAAGCTCCATCAAACCCTCCTGAAACCTCCCTCAAACTTTTCAAACCTCTCTCAAACCTCCAACCAACCTCTCACTAGCCTCTCTCAAACCTCTCGCTCGAATCTCCCACAAACCTCCCGCCAACCTCTCTCAAACCTCCTGCCAACGTCTCTCAAACCTCCTGCCAACGTCTCTCAAACCTCCCGCCAACCTCTCTCAAACGTCCCTCAAACATCCCTCAAACGTCCCTCAAACCTCTCCTCAAATCCTCAAACCTCCCGCCAACCTCTCTCAAACGTCCCTCAAACATCCCTCAAACGTCCCTCAAACCTCCCTCAAACTTCCTTCAAACCTCCCACCAACCTCTCTCAAACTTCTCCAAATATTACCCAAATGTCCCTCAAAACCTCCCCAAACTTCTTTCAAACTCACCTCAAACCTCCCTCAAACTTCCTTCAAACCTCCCACCAACCTCTCTCAAACTTCTCCGAAATATTACCCAAATGTCTCCCAAAGACCTCCCCCAAACTTCTTTCAAACGTCACCCAAATGTCTCCCTCAAACTTCCCTCAAACCTCCCACCAACCTCTCTCAAACTTCTCCCAACGTCTCCCTCAAACCTACCCAAACCTTCCTCAAAGCTCCATCAAACATTCCAGAAACCTCCTGCCAAACTCTCTCAAAATTCTCCTAAACGTCACCCAAATGTCTCCCAAATGTCTCCCTCAAACCTCCCACCAACCTCCTTCAAACTTCTCCCAAAGTCCCTCAAACCTCCCTGACCTTAAATAAACAGTTTTGTGCTTCACTCTTTGATTCACCCAGACATCAGCACATCACTCCAGTTCTTGTATAACTAAATTGGCTCCCAGTTTCTTTTGGAATAGATTTTAAAATGTTGTTTGTTTTGAGCGGCGCACTACGTAAAACTTTTGGTTGGGGGTCCGTCATTGCTTTGCCTAGAATATTCCACAGTATGACATTAAACAGCTCTACTTTATTATTTTTTAAGTCCAAAAACACCTAGAAAAACATAATCTGACCCGTTTACTCCTTCCTTCCGTGGTTTTCTTTGGGCCAACACTTATTAATGCCACATTTGATTGACAGCTGAAAAGGAATCAACTAGAAGGAAGCGAGGAAAGAGAAATGAATCGCTGCCAAACAGTTGGATTAATCAATCAGGAAACTCACTGGCTCGTCAATAACACTCATCTGAACTCTGGGAGACAAGACTGGGCCCAGACTAAGGAAGGCGTAAGGAAAAAAAGGGCGTAGCCTGGGCTGACCTGACGAGCAAATACTCCCAGACGACCTTTTTTTTACCTCGTGATCAGGTTCAACTCTGGATTTCCCACAGACTAGAATTGGAAAAGCACCAATCAAAACATCTGTGTCACTGTACCAAAATAAAACGAGTCATAAGTTTGGACTCATCCTCTCATTCAGTGTCTTTTTTTTCTCTGCTTACCACTTTTGACATTTGAAAAACAAACAGAAAACATTAAATATATGAAGTAAGATGTATGGAATTATGTAGGAAAGGAAGAAACTTAAATAACTACTAAATATATTTCCTCAAATCTTCAAATTAGCCTTTGCTTTGTGGTTTATTGTGTTATATTTGCCGTATTTTTCAGACTATAAATCACACTTTTTTTCATGGTTTGGGTGTTTCCTGTGACTTATACTCAGGTGCGACTTATATATTAAAATGTTTCACAGTGAAACGGTGAGAGTCTCTAGTCTTGTGTGTCAGTTTCTGCTGCTCCTGTTCGTCCTGTACCACTGTCACTTGGCTCTACTGCGCATGTCTCCTGCAGAAAGAGCCTCTGTCCTGCTGCAAGTAATGAAATATGCAGCCGAAAATGGTAATCGAGCAGCAGAAAGAAAGAAACTTGTGAGGGACTGGCAGAAAGCGGGGATGGAGAACACAGCTTTACAGGAACCAGGAGGATGCACCATGAATCTTTCCTGAAGTCACTGGATGGATGGACAAAGTCTGAACTTCAGTGACACTGAAACCATCCTGTCGGGATTCAGAAAGACCCGAATAATTCTAACTGGAACTGATGCTGAGTCTGACGACAGCGACACAGAAGAGGAAGCGGCGCTCTGTTTAGGGCTGTCGGTAATTTATCCTGCAGTGCAGAATAAAGGCTCAACAGCGCGGTATGCAATGATATCGCACCCTCCTCCACCCCCTGGAGTTATAATATTTCCAGCGGCTCTGAAAACTCTCTCCGATGATGCTCTTGTTGCACAGATGCACATGTGCCTTGGTTGTCGCGCGGATACAGTGTGTGTAGTGGGAGAAGTAACATTTGGCTTTGGAACAAGTGACACTGCATCTCTCCAGCTCTCACTGTGGCAACTCGGGTCAGAGTCCTGCACCAGGTCGGCTCAGAGCCCTGCACCAGGTCGGCTCAGAGCCCTGCACCAGGTCGGCTCAGAGCCCTGCACCAGGTCGGCTCAGAGCCCTGCACCAGGTCGGCTCAGAGCCCTGCACCAGGTCGGCTCAGAGCCCTGCACCAGGTCGGCTCAGAGCCCTGCACCAGGTCGGCTCAGAGCCCTGCACCAGGTCGGCTCAGAGTCCTGCGCACTTAAGAGAGAGAACCCTGAGCACGTGGGGCAAGTGTCTGCAAAGCGCAATCGGGTGATGGCAGCATTTACCTCCATGTGGCGCAGAGTTCTACGTCGGTCCTTTCGCCTGTAGTCACCCAGCAGTCCAGTCTACGCGGGCGCACGTTAGTCCTGCGTTAGTCCTGCGTTAGTCCTGCGTTAGTCCTGCGTTAGTCCTGCGTTAGTCCTGCGTTAGTCCTGCGTTAGCCCTGGGTTAGTCCTGGGTTAGTCCTGCGTTAGTCCTGGGTTAGTCCTGGGTTAGTCCTGGGTTAGTCCTGCGTTAGTCCTGGGTTAGTCCTGGGTCAGTCCTGGGTCAGTCCTGGGTCAGTCCTGGGTCAGTCCTGGTTAGTCCTGCGTTAGTCCTGCGTTAGTCCTGGGTTAGTCCTGGGTTAGTCCTGGGTTATCACAGGCACGGGCAGTAACGGGTGGAATGTTAATGGGTCCGGGCGGTTGCGGGTCTCTAAAAATGGACCTGTGCAGGAGTCTGGGTCGGGTCAAGTTGGTCACGTGTGATGATCGCAGTGGGCCTCTTAGTACCTCAGAGATTCATTTTTGCAGTTATTGCGACAGCCCAAGCTCCGTTTACCTCTGGAGGTCACGGAGTTGCTCAGAAGTGACACCGAGGATGAAGAATTTAATGGATTTAGTGATTTGGAGTGAGATGGAGAGTTTGGTAAACTTGTTCTGTTCTGTTGTTTATGTTATAGTTTATCTGAAGAACTGTTCATATGTGACGTTAACAGTCTGTTGTTCTCTCTTCTACTGTTATTATTAGAACTTCACTTTCAACATGAAATGTCAGTTCCTGGTCTCTGATTTCATCAAATAAATTTACCCCAGAAAGTGCAACTTATATGTTTTTTCTTCCTCATTATGCATTTTTTGACTGGTGCGACTTATACTCCACTTATATTCTGAAAAATACGGTAGTTTTTAGTTTGCACTTTTTGTTTACAACGGTCCTAAGTGGCAGGTTTTTTTTTTCCAGTTTTCCCTCTCTGAGCCTAATGTTTAATACGTTTTATGGGCAATTTTGTTACAGAGACTTAATAATCTATTTTATTTATTGTTTTGGTTTATTCAAGTGCATTTTTTTTAACAAATCCATACTGTACGCCAGACCACATTAGACTATTCTTATGATAACAAGTATTTTATTTAGTCTTACAGTTCCTGTGTTAAATGTTCTTTAGAAAGTAAAGTTTATTGATCTTTGAAAGGATGTATTCATGTATTGTTGAAAAATGGTCTGAAAATGTCAATATTATCGTTTATTGCAGTAATTTCTTGGTCAATTTATCGTCCAGCAAAATCTGTTATTGTTAAAGGCCTAACTATAGTTGTTTAATTCTAAAATTAATCCTCAGAAATGCTTTACTTTCTTTACACAGTGGATATAAAACGTTGAAAGTAGTAAACATTTTTAGTGAACCGCAGCGCCTTTGCATTCGTCTCCCCCACTCTGTGTCTGTGTCTGTGAGTCTCGACACGCAGTTCCCACGAAAAGTCTGGTCTCGTACAGGAAGTGACGTAAGAGGAAGTGAAACCGTCTCACCTCCGTCGGCGCTCGGCCTCTTCTCGCTCTTCTTGCCTTTGCTTTTCTTCTGATAACACACAGAAACAGAAACAGAAAGAGCAGCGTTAGTGTCAGCGCTTTGACAGTGACCAGACCCGAACCTGCGCCAACGCACGCGATCATGGACAACATCACAGTCCGAGAGCGCGCCCTTACACGGATCTAACCTGTAAACAAAACATTTGACTTGGCAAATAACATGGGCCTGTTAAGATAATTATTACATAGACCTGGTACAGTGTATTTTTAGGCTCCAAAATTATTATGTGCACATTTTCTTTGAGTTAGAGCAGATTTTTTGTTATTTTTTTGGCTCTATGATAAGATTTAAAGGTGCAGTGTGTAACTTTTCTGCTCGTTTCCATGGAGATGTAATTACTAACTTGATCACAATGGAGATATGTGACATTACTGGGTAGATCTATGGAGAAGTGAGCCTGCACATAGTAAAACTTCATGTTTTTGAAGCTGTAAAACCACCTGTAAATGAATAAGTGTAAAGTAGAGCTGTTTAATGTAATACTGCGGAACATTTCAGACAAAGCAATGATGTAACCATAGAAACAAACAGGTGACAGACTCTCCACTAGGGGCGGGTACCATTAAGAAGTTGCTGATACGATACATACCTCGATACGTAGGCCACGATACAAGATACGTTTTTCGATCGTGTACTTTAGATTCAATACGATTTATTTCAAATCGATTCGATACGGTTCAGTGAAAAACAGACTAAATCATGGCTGTGATAGTAAAAGTCCACTAAGTCCACTAAGTTTGTGCTCAAAACTGAAAATGTCAACACAATTGTAGCTCTTACACAAAATAATTTAGTAAAATATACCTAAAAACTACTCTTGGAGATATAGATACAACAGCCCATGATATCGATCCTGTATCAAATTAAACTATACGATATATAAATTTTTCAATATTTTTACACACGCCTACTCATCATCAGCTTATGTTCTTTTTACTATATTACAGATTTAGAAGAGTTTTTGTGATTTAAATCTGCTCTTGGGTTATTATTATATCAGCTACTTTCAGTTTTATCGTTTATTGTCTATATTTTCTTCAGCCAAGAGCTGCTCAATTATGGAAAAAAAAAAAAATCATTATCATGATTATTTTGGTCAATATTGAAATCAACATTTCACTTGAAATTATTCAAATGATTATTTTTAGTTACACAAAGCATTTATTCAGCCTTTCACAACACTTTGTTATTGATCATTTACATAAAACTTTCAAATTAAAAATATATATAGGCTACAAATTTGTAATTTTGCGATGTATAAAATTAATAAAATATACTGTGAACATTGCCTGGAAGAATCCAGACTCATCACTGTACCAGGATCTGTATAACAAATACAGAGAAATATCTTTCTGGATTTTCAGGCAACTGTGAACATGAAATAAGGCAAAGAAAAACACCTATATCCAGCTGTTCTACAATCTCTATATTGAAAAAATAAAGTAAACATACTTATTTATATACAAACACACCCCAAAATAAACTTTGTAAAGTTTAAGGACAAACTAGGACACACTAGGACTTTAGAACCGTGTCGTGCTCAAACATGATTGTGTAGGGTTCTACGTTCCGTGTTTTCTGGTGGAGGATCCGTGAAATACTTTTATCCCTGGAGACAGTATGACATGATAAAACCAGATCAAGTTATAGGTCAGATCTGTGGAGAGGCGACCCCACTCAGTCTGAATGCCAGTATTTCTAGGTATTTTTGAGCTGTAAAACTGCCTGTAATTGAATAAATTAATGACAAACTGCAGAACATTCAGAGCAAAGACATATCCACAGAAACAAGCAGGTGACAGACCCTGAACCAAAAAGTTACATAATGCACTTTTAAATCTTAAATATAGGCAGATTTTCTTCTAAAGTATACACACAAAGCTTTATATTAACAGTATAATATGAAGAGGTAGCTGCACAAAACACGACCACACAACTCGTAAAAAAGTCATAAAAAAAAGGCTCGGGGTGGGAGTTACGCAAACTTGATTCTTGTGAGTTTTAAGCCAAGTTATAATGTTGTTTCCTCATCAAAAACAGACCTGAAGTTGTGTTTTGTTTGATTCACGCATTTGATTAATCCTTTATTATGATTATTATTATTAGTCTGTACATCTCCACAGCTCAGTAAACAACATTTTAACATAGATCAGAAAATAGTTTTGTTTAACTTGGGCTCTTTAATCGAGCGCTCGTCCCGTCCCGTCGTGAGCCAGGAGGGGGTCAGAGGTCGCGGCGCGCTCCGACTCCCTGCTGAGACATGAGCCTGTTCTGAGCTCCGAGGGACGGTTTTGGATCAGACTTGTTCCTTAATCACATGTTTACCAAACGACTGTGGGACTTTTGATTTACGATCGCCATGAATGAGACTCTGTGTGTTTGTGTAGTGTTTCTCAGTCTCTCTTTTTAAATTTATGATGATTATTTATGTTTTGATTTGTTTTTATTGCGATTTTAATGTATTTCTTATTCTGTAAAACACTCTGAATTACTTTGTGTACGAATTGTGCTGTACAAATAAACTTGTGTTTGCGTCTATGTGCGTCTTTGTGTGTGTCTGTGTGTGGGCAGGTTTCTGCATGACAAGCATAAATGTACCGTCAGAGTCATGGATCTATAATAAAAACTGGATAAGGCGTTTCCCCTCCGTCCTCGGCTCGAGACAGACTAGTGGCCGCTCCAGGTACTACACAAACATTTCTCCCACAGAAGCACAATGCCTTTTTGGGAATTCAAACTGCACAGAGGACTTTCGCAAAGGTCGGGTTTTGTAGAATGCTTTTCTATTTTCAAAACGTAAACTTAACATTTTTAAATCGTCAAAGCACCTAAAAGTGATCTTTGTCCAACATAGGCTACGTTCAGACTGCAGGGCTTAACGCTCAATTCCGATTTTTTTGTGAAATCCGATGTTTTTGCGAGGTCGTTCACATTTCCAATTAAATGTGACTTGTGTATGTGACTCCAGTGTGAACGTTAAACGGCCCGAAAGTGTCCCGCATGTGCACTGGAGACACGACGACGTCAACCGCAGCGAGCGTCTCTGTGTTTACGGAAGTTGTCCAAACATGGACGCAGCATCGAGCACCTGGAGATTTTAAAGTTCCTCTCGTACCGGAGCCAGAACATGAACAACTTACTTATTTTAAGGAGGAGATTGAGAAGGAGAAGGACGAGGTTTTTGGCCGTGGTGTTTTGTGGGACAGCGGCAGCGACGTGTATGTGAAATGAACAGTAGGATGGCGACTGGAGCGAGTCAAGAAGCAATTGTCTTGTTATTTAGTGCATCACGGCAAATACAGCCACGATTCTTGAGCAACGAACTGGCGCGTTTATTGAGCCCACGCACTCACGGTGAGGCTCCGAACAGGGAGTTAAACCCTGAGCAACGAGCGCCGTTTTGTTACAGACAATTAAGAACGCGAACATGCACGTTGAGTGAATTTTGGAATGAATGAGCTATAGAGTTTGCATTTTTATCGATGCTCCTTAGTTTGTTTGCTGTATGATTGTTCTAAAACAGGGGTGTCAAACTCATTTTGGTCCAGGGGCCATATCCAACCTACTTTGATCCCAAAGGGGCCGGATCAGGAAACTCATGTCATATAAACCCCAAAAATAGTAATAAGTTCAAATATTTGTGCAGAGAAACACAAATCTATTACAGAAATCTTTTTTAATTGATGAACTCTTTCTTTTACAAAATATTATATTATGAACAATCTGAAACTTTAAGAAAAATACAATTTCAACACAATGTTTCAACATTAACTTGTATGCAAATAGGAATAAGTCAATTTTTCTTGGAAAATCCTGCACTCGGCTCCACTTTTCTCATTTTGGACATTTTTCTGATGAGGGTGTCACGGTCAACAGTCAAAACGATCGTCCTTTAAGAGCGTCTGGAAAGAGACAAGTCTTCATTTGTGCTGCTCTGGTGGGAGGGGCCACGTACAGAGACGCTGGAGACGCTGCTGTGATAAGAGACGCAGAAAATTACCAATATTTTAATAGAAAAAATTATAAAAATATTTTAATAGAAAATCAGACGAGGGCCAGATTAAAGGTCTTGGAGGGCCGGATCTAGCCCCCGGGCCTTATGTTTGACACCTGTGTTCTAAAATCTAAAATCAATGGGCGGAAAACCTCGGGTGCAAATGGACAGCGGGCGGATGAGGAGTTTTGTGTCGCGGTTGCGGATGAAAAAATAGCCCATCCGCGCATCTCTAGTACACAGACCGTTTATATGAATGGACATATATTCTAGCCTCTTAGCGTTTTGGCGGTGACTTTCTTCGCGGCGCACAGACCTACATCAGAGTATCAGTGTTTTCAGGCGTCCACACGGTGCCGGATCAGATCTGTACTCGGATGAATTCGTGGGAGCTGGAGGCACCAGATCGTTCCGTCTCTGGAGCCGTTTTTCCATCGGATTTGTGTGGACGAACACTGCATCCACATCGAAAAAGTACTAGTGTGAATGGGGCATCTTGGGTTCAGCATAAGAGCGAATTTAAGTTCTGCATCGACTCAACACACACCGCCGCCGCCGTCGTTTTTTGATTTACGGATTTATGGATTTGATTTATTAGGCGCCAGCAGAACCTCCCTTACGGTGTTAATTAAGGTCTTTAGTCGACAGTCACTTTCAAATATTAGTTTTGGGGCGAAAAAAATGACACGCCTATTAATTTCAATAAACTCCCAATACAGTTCTGCCAAGATCTGATCAAATCAAACCTGTCCCAGACCTGCCCCTTACCTGCCCTTTAACCAAATGAACTGTTCCTCACTCAACTTCACCTTCATCTCCATCCAAACCTTAACCTCGATATTAAACGTGTCGTCAAAAACAAATATTAGCCAGCACTAGATGTATAATAAAGCTTCAGTCTCTTGCCTAGACCCATGTTTGGTTTAGGATCACTGGTTGCTGCAAATGAAAAGTAAAAAGATGGGAAAAAAAAAAAAAAAAAAAAAAAAAGCTA